TCTAATATGCTGATTTGCTGCTCAAGAAAAATGTCTTATTATTATGAATGTTGATTATTATGAAAACAATTGTGCTGCTTAATATTTTTGTGGAACCCATTATTAATTTTTTTAGGATTCTCTGGTCAATAGATATTTCAAATTAACAACATTTGTTTCAAATTTAATTTTATGTAACATTATAAATGTCTTTACTGTCATTTCCAAAAAAATGAACGCATCCTTGCTGAATAATTTATGTATTAAGTTTTTCCAACAAAAATTATACTGATCTTTTGCACTGATCTGATCTGACTTCACTGTGATTCTAAAATGTGAAAAAAACTATGTTTTAATAAGTAGCTGTGCCCAAACTTTCGACTGGTAGCGTACATATATCCACATCTGTTGACCTCTTACCAAGGTGGCAGCGCAGGCGTACGTTGGTTGGCCCGTAATGCTCAGTGATGGTGGCTCCAGGACTGAGCACCGAGAAGCAGGCGTTTCCAAACACATTATTCGCAATAAAGGTACGGAGCTGTCCGAGCACCCTCCACGCACGTGGACACCGCCTGGCGTTCAGCACCATCGGAGTACCCTGGTTCACCAGATAGAAGGTCCACCACTGGCCACGAGGTGTGCTGTTGGCCTTCCAGCCCAGTGGAAGCGAAGAGCCAGTCCGACTGGTTGGCAGCCGGTAGATGCTCTCAAATTCAGCCAGGAGTGCCGGGAAACTTCTCTCCAGGAGCTCCACATCATGCTTCTGTGCCTCCCGTGAGAAGAAAGGAGCAGAGGGAAGGTCCGGCAGGAAGAAGACCTCAGGTTTTTGGATGGATGGGCGGTTGCAGAGCAGATATCGGCCTTGCTCACGTACGCCCTTGTGTACACGGCCCATGCCGGCCCAGGTGTAGCGCTTGGCGTACTCCTGCAGGCTATGGTAGAGCCGCTGGTTCAGGCCCTCGCCGGGTTTGGCACAACGGAAGCACTCAGGCGACTGGCAGTAGGCGAAGCCGTTAAGTTCTTCCTCGCCGACTCCACTTCCTCCAGCCCCACCGACCTGACGGAGTTTCAACGAGCCTCTGCGGGCCAAAAGGTTCGAGGCGAGAACTCCACCAGGAACCGCCCCGACATGTGGCTTGGGGCTGAAACCGCCGCGGAGCGATGGTGCGGAGTGTTCGCATCCAACACGGTAGCAGTACCAAATAAACAGAAGGGCGAGACAAAGAGCAGTGCCTAGAGCACTGGACTCACACTCTCGCACCGACTGCATGCCACCTGCCACCCATTCCCTCATCCGCTCTAAAGACCACTCCATTCTTGCATACGAACATACATACATACACACTCTATCCCAAACGCACACGCTCAAACGTACATGTAGATATGATTTAGAGATTCTTATTTGTTGGCTTGTGCATTGGAAGGCTTGATTTGGTGTTTAACTGAAGTGACACAGCCTTTGCCCGTCGTCAAGGAGCTTTTTGTGCAGTCTAATTTGATCATGTGCCAATCGCTTTGGTTAATGCAAGCGCGCATTTCATTTCCTTTTGGAAATGTTGACAGTGTGCCGCCGTCAGATAATTCAGCTGCTTCTTGCCTCCTGATCCAGACCAACAGGGACACAGTGCACCCGAGGGCACCTGGGAGAGAGAAAAAAGCAGATATAGAGACATTTTGTGATAAAGTGCAGCAGAATAACACTACGCCGACATTGCCGTCGAGGCAAACTGTATCACACCTGCCTTGATGGCCCGGTTTGACCACATGATCATTTCTAAATACCACCCACACACATTTGGCCTCTTCTCCCCCTCCCCACGCTCATGCACAGACCGACGAGCAGCTTGATAAGAGACCGCAGCACACACGGGTACGGCATTTGAAATTCAGTCTTTGAAACACCTCCGCACTGCACTTTTTAAAATCATGAGTCATGAGAGAATTCCAAGCATACTGCAATAAAGCATGCAGACAGTCAACACAAACCTGCAGCAGGGACACATTTGACCGTAGAGCCTAACTGCTTGACATAAAGACAACAGGGAATTGTTGCATTACTGTTGCATTAGGATCCCTCAGATGGAATGCAACCTGAGGCTAGTAGAGATGAAAGACAAAAACAAACCTAAGGTTTAATGCAACATCTCACGGCGGCTGTCAACACAGACAGAGAGAGAGAGACAGAGAGAGTGACAGCAGGGGAATGCGTACAAGAATACAGCACAAAGAAAAACAAACCCCAGCCACCTAATGCAACATTTAAATGATTAGATTAAGCATGCAAAGACTGTAACGAGTCACTGCGCAAATTGACGCCCATTCAATTGCATATTTACCGAGAGCTTCGCGGCACTTCTTGTCTGTCAGATTCGCAGCGACTGTTCTTCCGCTCGGCGCTTCCACTTATTCTGCCTCTACACTTCCCTCTCAGACACCTCCCTGTCGCTGTTTTAATGCCGTTCCTAGTCCTGCCCTTATGTCCGTAAAGCGCTGTCAGGCGACGTCCATAATGCCGAAGACAACCGGGCAGAAAACAACATGACAGACGTCCGTTGTCTCATCATTGAAATCTGGGCGTTTATATAACGAAGACGCATAACTGATTGACTGACATGCAACTGAAACCATAACAAATGCTTCATTATAATATTAATATCGATACTGCTCATTTTATCACATTAACACGAATAATAATAATGGTAATAACAAGAATAATTGATGTTGTTATTATAATTGTATATTAGCTATTAAAACAGTTGCGTGCAGGTTGTAAACCGCATAAGGAGGTGTCACGAGCAGTCAGTGGGGGGATTTCGACTCATCCAAGTGAATCGAATCTTTATCCGTTCACCAAAAAGATTCACTTAATGACAAATCCAGTGAGCCTTTCTGCATGTTATCGTTAATCAGTTGGCTATAAGTGTTGTGCTATGAGTGAGCAAACGATTCCTTAAACACCGAGTCGTTCATTACTAAAACAATTCCATATCTTTCATCTTAAATTGCGTTGCCTATCTACAAGCGACTTTAGAAAGTTTTTAAGCATTCGAAATGGTTTCTCCAAAAAGGACAAAAGCAATGATTTATCTTTCATTTTAACGTTATTAAATACAATTATGAATTAACGATATCATCAGTCATTTTCACACGTTCAGTAGGCTATTCTTTAGTATCCCTCTACCCTTTAGTATCCTTGTTGTGAATTCAGTTCTCAAGGTGAAAAGGTTTGAATTCTTAGCTACTCAAAAACACAGATCTGCTGAACTTTGCGAACACTTCAGGCAATCAAATGCCTCAGGAATGCAAAGGCAGGAAAGTGTGCTTCACATGGTCGATCAAAGCCGAAAAGTGCTTAGAATTGAGAGATTTGTTCATTTTAGAAAATTCATTTAAAACACCGAATCGTTTAAGCCACCTGTACAGCTGTCCACGTAGCCATTCTCAGTCGATATGAAAAAAGGTAGACTATAACCAAGTGCAACAACTAACCATGAGAAATACGACGAAGAAAAGAACAAAGTAAATCCCACTTCTGCCACGTGGTTAAGATATGTGACAGCTTTACTCTAAGAGTGCATGTTATTTTATAATAAAAGCATTAGTAGTTGTTTACAAGTGACACCCCCCAACGGACTACAATTCCCATGGTGCATTGTACGCCAGACTCGTGAGCGTTTCGCGCGAGAATCCCCACAAATGGAATCGCAACAATGTAACGCTTTGTCGCTTGTTTAGAAATTGCGACTTTGCATTGTTGCTACATTTCCAATGGTCTTCGTCGATTAGCTTTTGTTTTTAATCTGTATTTGTTTATTTTTAATTCAGCTCAGTAGACTACAGGTACGCGGACACCTGCTTTGTTTGAACCTGCAAAGCTAGGAAACTGTCCTGTTCGAAATGCAGTTATGCAGGCATATTGATTAAACCTGTCACTTTTCCAGAAAACTACAGTGACAGTGTCACATTTGAAACTTGCCTTCACGCGAGATAAACAGCTTCCTCATCGGCTGTCCGTGGGCGACCTTCAAAAATAATCGATCTAGATTTTATGAAGGACCTCCCCCTTTCCCAGCACTCATATGAAGAGTTTACCAACACACCAACTTAAAAATCAGATAATGTTTCTTAAAAATATATATATGAAGGTTTAACTGAAGTTACACGTGTTTTGCTTTCTAACAGTTTAGAGGTTATAAGTAACATAAATTAGCCTCTT